TTTTTTAATTAAATCAATAAAATTGTGTCAAAAAAATAAAAATTGGAAGTTATTTTTAGAATAACATAAAAAAATCCATCTTTTATGTTATAACGACCATTTACAATACAAATCTCATATTATTCTTATGGAAATATTTGCGTTTTACATTCTTTGTATTTCACTTTTTTCTTGTTATTTTGCCCTTTTTTATGGTAAAACGCTGTCTTTTCTTATAACGCCCGATACATCTGCACGTTCCATTCTGTTATGAACGTCTTCTAAACCTTGACAGAAAGCCGCATGTAGTTCTCGGGCTCATCTAGTCGTATAATACAAAGTTTATGGGTATTTTAGTCATTTATTATTGTTTACTCTGCTTATATAGTCAAATACGTCACGTAACACGTGTTACGCCAAGCATCTTCGGCAGACAGCCGCCATTCTTGATGCCTATTGGTTAATCGTCACCTTGTCTCCTCCTTCATTTACTATTTCCATATTTACGAAAATGCCCTCATATTACTTCAAATTTTGAGATCTAGAAAAAAATGTTCCTCGCATAAATGTTGCACAAGATTTTACAGTTTACACCTGCGAGAGCAGCAAATCATTTAACAAAAAATACTACTTCTATTATAGAAAGGACGCGGTTAGCATGCGGTCCTAGCCTGCATATGTAGAAATAAGGGCTTCTTGATAAATTTATTTTTGAAATGGATTTTTAGACTTAATTTTTAAAGATATATAATCTCTAATATGGAGATCATGAATATGAAAAAATAAATAAATTTAAAAAATTAAAAATAATAATTCCATTAAAAATACATTTCGACACGTTAGTTTCAATTTTTGTTAGATGGACCATATATTTGCCTTCATGTTTAAGATGGATGCTTTGTACATTTGGACCGCCTATGTAGAAATGCGGTACAACCGGTATGAAAAAATTTTCGTAAGAGAGAAGGTTGCATGGGGGCATATACTCACTAGGACCAAAACGAATCTGAAAAGGCCAAGGATATTTGGGGCACTTACAAAACATAAGACCATTTTCGAATATAAAGTCAAAATGAAGGTCAATTGTCGACATGAATTATTCTCTTCTTCCCCGCTCTTTCTTCTCTCTAAAGTCCAAAACACAGTATTGAACCCATCTTTCTCTCTCTACAGTCCAAAACCCAAAGTATTGAACCCACCTCTCTCTCTCTCTAAATTCAGCTTCCTTGGATTTGCACAGGGCACCTCTTCATCCCCCTCGCATGTGTCATGCAAATTTCTCTTAAACCCAATTAAAAACCCTAGAATTTGACAATTTCACCTCATCAATGGCTCCCCACCTTCTCTCATTACCATTCCCAGAGAATTAAAACGCCCTCCAACTCAATGGCTCCTCCTCCTCCTCGTCAACTACCTTCTTCTCCTTCTCATTGTATATCTTCTTGTACTGCTACCATTTGCCCTCCCTCTTCTTTCCAATAATGTCAGAAGAGTCCCTTAGGGAAGAAGAGGGGGTGTTGCACCATGTTCCTGTCTTTGCGAAGGAGCTGGTTGCTGGGGGCGTTGCAGGAGGATTCGCAAAGACTGCGGTCGCACCACTCGAACGCATCAAGATCTTGTTTCAGGTCACTTTCTCTCTCTTCTATTTCTTGGAATTCAATTTCGATTTTATTTCTTCTACTTCCATTCCAGGATTAATTGATCTTAGCCAAAAAAAAAAAAAGAAAGATAAAATGTTATTTGATAAATTCTTATTTCAAGTTAATTTGTTTCTTTGATTAAGTGTCATTTGGGGATTGTTTTTTCTTGGTGTCTCTCTCTCTTCTTTTTGTTTGGGGTCTCTGAAAATTGGGAAATTAACAATCCTGAAACTTTCTGTTCGGAAAGAATGTGAAATTTATAACAAAAAACAGCGTTTTCCTTTTATGTCACTAAGAATTTAGAGATAAAAATTTTGAATTTTACTGTATTAGAAAAATGCAAATCTGATTCAAAAAATTAATTCTAATTAGATGTTTTGCCCTTTGTTTTTGGGGTTTTTTATTTTGTACAATGTGTTATTTTTATCGTGCTACTTCTCTTAGCTGGTTTTGATCCAATTTTACATGTTTTTCTTTTTTCTTGTGTTTTTTCCATTACTGTTTCGGTTATGGCTTAGTGGCGTCTTTCTTCAAAGAAAAACTTGTGTGGCACAATCTTCAAAAAGTGACCGAAAATACCCCAAATCTTTGATATATGCCAACTGTATATTTTAAACATGACATTTATGCCCCTCCTCCGTCTTGGCTTTACGCTGAAATGGTCATATTTGATTAGGGCATTTTTAAAAATTGTGAAATTGATTGTGGTGTTTGGTCGGAATTCTTTCCCTGTTGTCGGTAGCGGAGGTGCCCCGTAACAACCCAACAACCCACCAGTAACATCCCTCTAATTTTTTTTTTTCGGAAAAAATTCGTGTATAATACTGATTCTTTAAACTATTTGATGCCGGACCCTTTTTCTGACTATTTTTCGAGAGGCATAAAAAAATACCTGGCAATTTTACCTTACACTTTTATCTCTTATTTTTATCTTTTTAGTAATTTTTTACCATAAAAATTAATTTTAATAAATCTTTTAATATTTTTTATCTCAAAATTTTTATTAATCCTCTTTTTCCCTTTGTATAAATCCTCTTTTGGGCTACAAATTTTATTAATCCTTCCGAATTTTAGTTGAGTAAAATATGGAAAAATATTTGTAATTTTACTTCAAAAATTGAGATTTGGATGAAATTCATACCATAAGTGGTTAAATGATAGCAAAAATACAATTTTCTAACAAATTCCTTTTAGTTTTTTTTTTTTGTTAAACCAGTGGGAATTTGGAGCCCTCCCCATTTTCATTAATAGGAAAAGAGATGGATGTACAGAGCTTATGTTGCAATCCTTTCATTTTTAGTCCTAATCCCATCCGTATCAGAAGAAATGAGGGAAGATAAAAAATTCAGAGGCTGAACTCCCCAAATTGTTGCCTCAAAGTGGGCTGCAGCTTTTACTTCTTACAAGAATCTTGCTATATATATTTCTTATGATTTTTTATTTTTCTGTACTCGGCTGGGCAAGGAGCCTAGTCTGAGTGGACTTGCGGAGTCTTGAATCATTGCTTGTGAACAAAAAATATATAATTAAGAGGAAAATTCAGTTGTCATTTTGTTATTTGTTGTGCATTTTCATGGCTTTTCTGAAAGGAAATTTATATTGCAGACTAGAAGGGGAGAATTTCGGAGTATTGGGTTATGGGGATCCTTGCAAAGGATTGTGAAAACAGAAGGAATTTTGGGATTTTACCGGTTGGTTCTTTTATTCCCTTTCAATCTTTCTAGATCATTATTCTCTCTCTATTAGCTTCCTTATGTCTCTCCCTAGATTATTATGAGTATGCGTGCCTGTGTTGTATATATACAGAGAGAGAGAGAGAGCAATTCTTGGGATTGGAGCTCTTGGCTTGGTTATTAGGGTGATGAAACCATGGTGTAAAATCAAGGTTCATCTCACTGCTTAATCGCCCCCCAAGAAAAAAGGATGGAGAGAACAAAAGTTTCCTTTCCTTGGTATAGGTGGTTAAAGGGTCTTTATGATGGAACTTTTGGAAATTAAGATCTCATCTTGGTCGCCTTAACTTGATTTGGGCTTCACAGAGGCAACGGAGCAAGTGTTGCGAGAATCGTTCCTTACGCTGCTCTACATTATACGGCATATGAGGAATATCGGAGATGGATCATAGAAGGGTTTCCTGATATTGGAAGGGGTCCACTTCTTGACTTAACAGCAGGATCAATTGCTGGAGGAACCTCTGTTCTTTTCACCTATCCTCTCGATTTAGTTCGGACCAAATTGGCTTATCAGGTGAAGAATTTAATATAAAATAACTCCTGCTTTTATTTGGGGAAAGGAAGAATGTTTACTTTGTTAAGGGCACAGTTTCAAAACTCGTCCAGGAGTACTCGGACTCGGCCAAGTAAGTCAGACTTGCCCATAGGGCAAGGCGAGTGTATCCCGAGTACAATTTACATGATTTATTGTTATGTTATATATAATGATGTAGCGTTTTCTAAAATGAAAATTTAGGTAGCGCACTGGTTTGTGGCTTTCTTCCCTTTTATGACGGTCTAGGTTCGAATCCTCTCATTAAACCTTCTAATATATATATCAAAATCTTGACATTTACACGATGCGGCACCGTAAAGTTCTTGTAAACAAATGTATATCTTTATTTATATAGTTTCTAAGAAAAATAGTATAACAAAAACTCAAATGGAAGCGGTTGAGGATTTTAACCCCAAACATCCCACACACAGACACCCAGAGGGTGACAGTGCGTGCTAACCATCAAACCCTTTCACACTCAATGTTGTAAAAATAAGGCCATAATATATACATATATTAAACTTTGTGTTGATTTTAAAAAAAGAAAAGAAAAACTTGAACTGTACTCGGGCGAGTTACTAGGAGTCGCCCGAGTAATTCGGCTCGGGCAATGGCTGAGTACCTTGGCCGAGTCAAGTTTTTGAACTATGGTTAAAGGTCTATTTAAAACTTCATTGCAATGTATTGTTAACGAGGGGGAACTTGCTCCTCATTGAGCTCATTACAAATGCTTGTTTTAATCTACAGGTTTGTAATTTGTGATGTAGGTTGCAGGGTATCACAACATAGGATCTGGAGCTTCACATGTGGAGCAAGTATATAAGGGCATCTTAGATTGCATTTCGAAGATTTATGGAGAGGCAGGAATAAGAGGTCTCTATCGGGGTGCAGGTAGTTAGAATATTTGAGCTCTTTGTTTATTCCTTCCAATATACTCTTAAGTATTTGCTATTCTTAAGAAGAATGTGATCTGAAAGTTGGAAGTATTCAATATTTTGTGGATTCAAGAAACAAACTAACCCTGTAAATGATCCCACTCCATTCTCTGACATTTCTTTGAGAGAATAATTAAAAGCATCACTCAAGTAATCCTGTTAAAAATATCCCTCAAACATATGTGGCGAATCCAACAAAATCAATTTGTTAACTAAAAAGTGATGCCATGACCTCATCTTGGCATTCATGTGTATGGCTTCCAACTGGTGGCCATATGTAACACATGGAAGAGTGATTTGCCCTTGTGGATAGCTCCCCCAAATGGAAGTAGTAGTCAACGTCAATGTATTTAGCATGATTATGGGCCACTTTATTATGTTTGATTTCATTAGGATTGGTGTTATTTGCACATATTGGGTTCTGCATATAGGAAAACCCTGGTTACTATGAGTCTCAACAGGGAAACATTCACACTTGAGGCAAAAGACATGGCCCTATATTCAGTTTCTATGCTGGAATTCAAGACCATGTCTTTTCACTCTTTAGAGAATATAATGACTAGTCTAAGAAAAACTATAACCTATTTGAAGCATCAATTGTTGGGACCTTTTGCCCAATCAGCATCAACATATGCAACAAACCGACAAGGCTTACAAGGGATGGTGGGAATAGTTGAGAAGCATGATCCTGTCCCAGTCATAGAAAACAATTCAATGCATTGCTGTTAAAGTTGGACATGCTATGGCATTGCCATTGAACTTCTTGTATTTTGACTTTAAGTTTCAATACAGAGTGTCAACTAGCACGTTGTATGCTAGGAAATGCATATCTCAGGTAGTGTGATAGCCATGAAGGGCTTGTCACTCAAATTCATTTTTCGAATCTTTTATCCATTGAGTTTGGAAGATGTTCTTCAAGTGAGTGATTGATCAATTTCTCTAAAACGGTGTCACTCTACATGAACTACCAAAAATAAGCTTGGAATTTATGAAACCAAGTGTATGGAGCTCACTTGAGATGTGTAATGCTCTCTTGAGTTTATTGACAAGTTTTGTCCTAGAAAAGGTATTATCAGGGAGGGTGCTTCAAAGTTGAGACACAAAATTGTTCTTGTGCAAAAGATTTTACCAAATAAAGTTTGGAATATTTTCTCAATAAATGTAACATTTGTACTTAATATATGTTAACATGCAAATATGGTTTGTAAAATAGTGGAATTAATTTAATTATATGAACCATGAACGTCCACTTGATGCTTTAGACATATTATGTTCTTTAATGCACACTATTATTCTGCACTTGTCTTCCCACAGTACGTATCAGAGATGGCAGGTTATAGAAAAATACATCCTAGGGTTTCATAAGGCTTAGAAACTTTACTTCCTAGATGTGGGGATCTTGGGTTGGTGGCATCGATCCCCCCACCTCAGAATCTTGCTTTAGTGATCCCAGAGCTGGAGCATTAGCAGAGCTCTCTCCTCCCATCAAGGGAGCTCGATTTTTAAGGATCTCGGATCTCCTTGTCTCGTCCGGTTAGAGACTCGAGCGATTCCTATGTTCAATCCTTGTTATGGCCCTTCAATCTCATTTCTCTCAAAGTTTTATGGGACTTTTAAGGCTATAAAGTTGTCATTGTGTGTGTGTGCGCGTTTATATATATATATATATATATATATATATATATATATATATATATAGTAGTAGTAGTATAGTATGACGTAGTGTTGTTAGTTAGTTAATAATTAATAAGTAACTAAACTTAAACTTAAACTTTAAAGTTAAGTTTAGTTACGTTTACGTTTAG